CTAAGAAGCTGAAATTTTAAAGAAATGCTTCCCACCCAAATATGAAAATTCCAGCCTTTCCATGGGTGCTACGTATTACCCCATGAAAGTTTTGGCGAGCAAAGTTGTTGTCTCGGAAATTATGGAAATTTGGAAGCTGGAATTTTAGGACAGTGATCCATGTCCATGATGTGTGACCTCGTAGCCTTAATTTCAGCCTTCTCGTGAGCCTGGGTACTACTTACGACCTCATGAGATTTTTGGCGAGGAAAGTTATTGTCTCGGGAACCACGAAGGCTAGAAGGCTGAAATTTTACGGCAGTGTCCCCTGCTCGCATATGACCCAGCACATTTAGAATAAGTCCTCTCGCGTGCCCCGGTGTCACGTACAGCCTTATGGAAGTTTTGGCAGGTAAAATTACTTTTTAGAAATCATGAAAGCTAGGGGGTGAGACTTTCCGGTAATCCCCCTGTCCACATACAACCACTCGCAAATTTAAGTTCAGCCATCCCGAACGCTTGGGTGTCACTTACGGCCTTGTGAAATTTTTGACGGTGAAATTATTATCTTGAGGAGTATAAAAGCTAGGAAGCTAAAATTTTACGTTAATGCAACCCCACATATTTAAATTCAGCCTTCCGCGCGTTCGAGTATCATGTGCAGCCTTTTGAAAGTTTAAGCGAGGAAATTATTTCGCGAGTCACAACAGCTAGGGAGCTAAATTTTTATGGTAATGTCCTTTGCCCAAGTGCAGCTCCGCAGCTCGGAATTTAGCTTCCCCTCAGATCTGGGTACCACGTACGACCCTGTAGGGAAATTGTCTTGAGAATCACGAAAGCTGGGAAGCTGAAATTTTGGATATTGTCCCCTGCCCACGTACTACCCTGCAATTCAAATCCGGCTTTCTGCGTCTCAACATCTCCTTGAATGTTTCGGCAGGACTCGGAAGCCAGAAGAGGCAGAGGGCTAAAATTTTTAGGAGGATGTTTTCTGCCTATGCAGGAGCCACACAAGCTCAAGTTTAGTTCCCAAGTATGCCAAGCGTGATTTTCGCGCCAAAACTTTTATCATGCGAACAACCAAGTAAAAGTTTTAGCGCGAAAATCACTCAAAAGCCAGGAAATTAGGAAGTTGCTTTTGAAAGTATGTTCACCGTACAAGGTTTTGGTTGAAAATTTCGCAACTTAAAAATCAGACAACATTTCAACTATTTTTGCACGCACCAAAGTTTGAAGCAGTGGAAATCCCTAGCAGGCAAACGTTCACTGGACGGAACTGCGCAAAATGCATGATCGCACTGGCTGCCCTGATGCGTGCCGCTATTTATTTGC